TGAAACTAATTAAAGGTCTCGTTCGTTTCAATAACGCTTAATGTTAGACAACTAGGTTGGACACACGGAGGCGTTAAAGAATTATTTTACTTCTGAAAGTTCAGAATACTATAAAATACAGGGAACAAGTATTTCGGAATACCAGTTTGTGGAATATCACTCCCCTCGTTTGCCCTGCTTTAGGAACGTCAAAAACGTCTGACGCTTTCCTTTTCAAATATGTAATTGATTTCATTAACACTACTTTGTTTACCCTGTCAATAACCAAGTATACGCATGCTACAAAGTAGATCATCCTTATCAACCAACTAGACAAGCGTGTTGTGTCAATAAAGCTATTGGAATGTAGCTGCCGTTATATATAAAACTATATATTATCATTTTGAAACCTGGCGAAGGGTATGTAGTGAAAATAAAGCTAAGAAATGCTCACGCAATAGATATAAACTGCGTATTTATTTTACCATTCAAAGTGGTATGTGGTGTACCTAGTTGATTCGCTTTAGCTGTCCCTTCATAAAGAAACTGTAAATTATCACGATTAACTCAGCAGAGCGGTATATGATTTAAACATGGCTGTTTCATCATGTAAATATTGTATAGTATCATTGAAAACCAACCATAGGAGAGTATAGTGGACGCATATATATTTCTTTGTAACCCTCGCTAGATATAAGATATGAGATATAAGATATGTATATCATTGACGATTAATTAAGTAGTTAACAATGCTATCTTTATGAAGAATCAGGTGACCATGATACACTATCGATTGTCGATATTAAATGCCCATTGGGGTCTCCAGTCGGAATATGACGTTTTTTTAGACCGATTTTGCCACAACTAAAATTTAAATATATCTATATCTGTATGCACATTACTCATCATTATCATTAAAAATGTTTAAACTCAGTGTAGTCGTGGCACTGGATAATAATTAATAACTTAAGTATGTTGATGAACCTGACTTAACCTGTACCGGCCTTCGGTGAGCTACATCGACCTTTATAGTCTATTATCGCTGTTGTTCATCTCCTTTCTATTTGTTATTCAAAAAAAAAATCAAAAAAATCATCCTCTTTAATTTTTTATTTTATTTCATTTAATTGAATGTTTATTTACGAGTTAACCTGAATTCCTTTTCTTCTAAAGTGAAATTTAGTTTATGTTGTGTTATATTAATTAGTTATACTATACTGACAACGGAATGCCAGAAAAGTCTAGAGGATTTTTGTACGAAATCATAAAACGGACAAATCCAAAAATTCGTTCAGATGCAATGGTTCCGCACTTTGGAATAGCCTGCCAGTATCTTTCACAGAAAGTTTGACATTGAATTCATTTCAATCAGAATGCAGAAAATACTTAAACAATATACAAACGAAAATATTCAGTGAGTAAGTAGTCTTTTAGGACTCCTTTGATTTTATAATTTAGCACCTATGCCATAGGTGTAATAACAAATGTTAATTTCAATTACATTATTGAATATTAATTTTATGTTCTATAAGATCTTGTTTGGTTTTAGCTTCTGCTACATTAGCATTTTATTCGTTCATTTTTTCTATAATTTGCCTTATTGGTATATATGTATATTAAACACCATGTGTTTATTAACTTCTAAAATGCAACATAAGAATAAACTCTTTGAATGACGTTAAAATGATTTATATTAAAATACACGTGACATATTCTTGACTACAGATAGTGTACTGCTACAGTGCCACAAAATATCGATATGCAAAAATGGAGAACAAATGAATACGCAACAAGGCAATCTGATTAAATAATCTGTTACATGGCTTCGTTAACTTCGTACTAGGCCTGGCGGTGCCATGTAACAGATGATTTTAATCAGATTGGCAACAAGGTTACTTTGTATGGTTTTCAATTGCTCGTCTTAATAGACATTGCTAGTTTGGAGTTCTAATTAATTGCATAATATTATACATCAACACATGTTACTAAATAAAAAAAAAAGAGCAGAACACTGCTACATAGTATTCTAGATGGGATGGCATAAAGAATATCGCATATACCTCAAAATTATAAACAAAGGTCTGCCCTTGTATTACCCGACATTCTTAGCAAGGATTTTTCAGATAACTGAACGTACTTAACAATGATCTTTCCAAATACATATGTAGTTTAACATTTTAAAGAAGGACCTTCTGCACATAACTCAAATTTTTGAGCAAGTTGCTCATCGCATACCAATCAACGTTCTGAACAAGCTTTAATCACAATCACTCAGCATTAATAAAAACATTATAACGATTTTACTAATGAAAAGTTTGCTTTATACATGTAACATGTAATCGTTCCGTTATTCAAAATAATATATATATATTTGATATTTAACATCTGGGATTATGTGCATTGTAACCAGATGGGTAAACTTGATCACTTTCGGACACTTCAATGTCAGTTGTTTAGACCTTTAACCTTTACAGATATGGTATTCATTGTTTTTCAATTATCATCAAACTCTTATAATAAAGGGGTATCCCAAATGTTTATTCATTTACACTTACATTTTTTTTTTTTATACTTTTTAGATATATGTGGTTGATTTTTTCCCTACTACTGTGAACATCGATAGTTTTATTAACTGTTTTTGGTTATTATTGACAATTTCCAGTGGGCTATGCTTAGCTGAATGGTTAAATATGTTCCTCCCGACACAGCACACATACATACGCTACAGGGGACAATGCATACGATACTATTGTTTAGGAATGCCACCGATTGTACACTATACACTGTAATACGGTAAAACATACATGGTATATATACATTTGTAAAAATTTGAAATGTTTAGAATTACAATTAACTAAAACCAAGTAGCAATGTGGATGGCAATGTAGTACCATTTCCATCTGTAACATTAATTACAGTACTGCAATGTCGCTTGCAACCGTTTACTTTCCAATTACCTCCTCTGGAGATCGATCACGTTCCTGCACTACAATCGCTCTTGTGGCGACGTTAATGTTACCTGGGGTGATGGCAGCACGGAAGATAATTGTAAAGGAAACTTTAGGTGATTATGCCGCCCTGGAGTCATCGGCAGGAACATTAAAGCAACACATGGGCAACCGTTATGGTACAGATCGCCGTGTTATGGCACCCTCGCCACGTCTCTGAAAATAACTCTCAACGTCATAATGCGTCTGAAAACAGACATATGACAAAATAATGTGTCTCCGAGCAGAAACAAGTCAATTATAGGTTCAGACGAGTTATTTGGTAGGCAGTTATTACATCCGGCTTTAATGACTCCGAAAAAACCGTGTTTTTCCAAGAACACTAATGACCAATTCCATATAAAGATACTTATTTTGTGTAAACATGTACTATAACTATGCCAATTACTTCGTCTGTATTTTCAGCAGTACCTTATTAACCTACCTTGATAGAAAAGAAATACTGATTTTTATTCAAAACAGCATCAACAAAATAAAAGGTCTAATGATGTATTGTACAGCTAGGATTGGTTCCATGGCAACATTCCGACCTAAATACGACTAATAGCGGTACAGCATTTTACGATGGCTGCCTCCATATCTAAGCTAAGAGGAGATACCATGACTACATATATTTATTTTAATTGGTTGCTGAATCATAAAATACAGCTGCACGTGAAAACGACATAGCCTGGTAAGTGCATGTATGTTAAAATCAAATCTCACCATCTCAGCACGCCAAATTCTAAACGTAAGTATCAATGCGGACGTCAAAGAGAAAAACAATTTCATACAGATCATGTGTGTATAAATGTATAAAATATTTCAAAGTATTTTAATGCCCAACTATATTTTCTCATTTATAAATACACCGGGCAGGTAATTAGTGGATTTCGCGTTAAATTCCAGAGAGACGAAATGTGCTGATCACTAGATACGGAAAAAACCGAGTTCGTGGTGAACCTAAAATGAGTTAGACCTAATTGATACCGTGACTAGTTCTCTGCTAAGTACGCTCGTTATAGATACACACGATGTGTCTGACATCAGGCTGTTACATTGCCTTTTTCACATTCGGTTAAAAGTTAAAAATTGGTTTACATTGGTAAAATTATATCAAATATTATCACACTGTGTTTTCAGGGTTTGTCGTTCAAAAACATTTCTCATCGCTCGCACGTTGATAACATCTCGAGTCTACCTGATTGCGGTGGACTCATTGGTTTTATCCACGTGCCAGCGATGAAAAACATGTTCGACCGACAAACCCTGAAAACATTGTGTGATAAACTGTTTATCACCCATATACTTCTAACTTATATATTTCTGCTTTCATAAAAAAGTCAACCAAATAACATATCTTCTAACTGTACGAGCAGGTTATATTTTTGAAATTGATTTATGCTCGCAAATTTATAGCTGTATATGATACATGGTTGTCAACCAAAGAAAGTATTTATAAATTTACCTTAAAAAGGATATTTGACTCAAACACGTTTACATTATGATCGCGATGTATTTAAAATATCCAATTTGATATGAAGAAAAGACTTTTCTTTCTGTATTTATTTCTTGTGTCTTGTTTTGTTCGGCAGTTTTAACTGGATATACTGTTCCAACATATTATGTCAAAACATGAATGAAGGTTGCTAGGTACAGTGAACTATAATTTGATTACGTCTTGCTTCAATGTCGTGAGAATTAGACTTGCTTAAATGCGAATTAAATAAAAAAAAACCTGGGAGAAATGTTAATACAGTTAGGTACTCGTATAAATGGGGAAATGATTCATTGGTTGCAGATACAAAACATGCTGAGCTGTAGCAAAACTCCTTACAGGAGTAGTAAATCAACCACTCGACAAAAATAACCTAATCGTGATAGTGTGTCCGTATACTACGTAAGTACATCTAAACTACTTAGGACGTCCGTGTCAGTATCACTACGATTGTACAAGGTACACCGCTCCTTCACTGATAAAGTAGCATATCTGTCGTAACAAAAAACATACGCCCACAATATTGGGATCAGTCATACAACACACGACGAACGCCATACTGTCATATAACGCACAACTAGACATATACTCCATTTCACTATGGGCAGTTAAGAGATGTCCTGAGAGCTGCAGACAAGGTAAGATTTGTCCTTGGCGCTGTAGACAGGTACGTGCGATATGTCGTAAGCGCTGTGGACAGGTACTACGATATGTCCTTGGCGCTGTGGACAGGTACGTGCGATATGTCGTAAGCGCTGTGGACAGGTACTACGATATGTCCTTGGCGCTGTAGATAGGTACGATTTGTCCTTGGCGCTGTTACAGGTGCGATATGTCTTTGGCGCTGTAGACAGGTAAGACATGCTCTGGGTTTTGTTGACTTTTATCGCTGTTGTAGACAGGAGAGTCCTCTTGGACACTGCAGATAAATAAGACTTCTTTCGGGCGCTTTAGGCAAATCATATTTTTTTGGTCCGTATTCATGAAACCGTTCTCATGCTCAAGTATGGATTATTTGCTCACACCATGCAGGCCATTGACAAAATAAGTTTTAACTGGAACAAGAAATAAGGTTTGAGCATGATAACAGTTTCATGAGTACGGGCCCAGATGCTATAGGTATCGAAGGTACATTCTAAAGCTTGTAATATATTCACAATTCAGTAAATGTATCGGAGCAATTTCCACCACTTTTGAATATTCTATTGGTATGTTTCTTTTGATGTGTTATATATAAAAGATCGGAAATGAAATCATTAATGTCATTGATTACAATTTCACTGAATTTATGTTGCACCATATGTATGCTCTGAACAGACTGACTGACATTACTATATTATAAACAGAAGCAGTTTCGACGTCTTCACACACATATGCACCTTGTATACCGTTAAGATTGACAGATGATTGCAAGTCTCGTCTAAACGAAAGTTGACAGTTGTAAATTGAACCCGAGTCCCGTCGAGCTAACATGTACTATGGTACATCGGCCGCTATAAACAGTTCTACAGGTTTATGAGAAGTTCTTTTTTACACAACCAATAACATTTTCTATGTGACGTTTCGATGACTAGTACGATATGTACACTGTATTGCTATTGCCCTTTCAATTTAATAAGGGTGATTGTATACAGGTTGACAGTACTAGAGCGGCCTGTTGTCAAATCATTTTTACCCTGGTCACGTAAGCCCGCTGACTCGGTTGTCCTGAGGAATGTTGTGTGTCGCCGACATACCGCGTCAGGTATTGGCGCCAATCAATACTCCCGGCCCAGCTTCTGTAGCAGCTACCAGCTCACAGCTTTCAATTATTTATCTAACTCAGACATGCAGCAGTCAGCGGCACGGCAGGGAAAGTGTTGTTCCATGGTCATAGACATACGGACCTCTTCCAAAACGGGTAGGTACGGATCTTTCGGAATAGTCCTGGGGTATGTACATTGGTGTCACGTGTAACGTTGGTTTCTCTCGTGTAGTATATATATATGTATAGTTGATGGCGTAAATATCTAACACAGGTCACTGACGCTAGCTAGATAAATGTGTGACCGCAGTGTTTGTTGGTGTGATAAACAGTTTATAGCGTGTATCTTATTCATTTTATCTTTTACCTTTGACAGGCTATGAACAATGCACGTGCGGTCACCCGAGGTACGGAATACAAGTTTGATTGATTTCGGATAATTGTGGATTCATTAATGTACCTATAGTTGAGTTCTCCAGCAGGCAATGGCATGGTTATCATTACTCACGAACGAGCGGTTGTATCCAAGGATGATCCATTCGTGCTTTGATGACTTGTATACATCGTGTTTTTTGTAATAAGGAAGCATTTCATTTGTACAGGATTTGTCTATCGGAAGCAAGTATATCTGTGGCTATCAAGAGGGCAGATGATTCCGGGAAAAGACTAATTGATAGTTAAACGGACGCAGTGTTCCGGAGATCGTTACTGGAGAGGTTCGGTGTACGCCTATCTCCCGGGACTGTCGAGAAAGCAATAACCTTGCGCTGATAAACCAGTCTCTGTAACAAGGGGAGGCGACAAAGCCATCAATATTCATGAATATAATGTGTACTCCCTTCTTCGTAAAGGATCTGACGTCTGTTTAATTGTGGGCCTCACGTAAACATCAGTGCGACAGTGTCCAACGGTACGAAATGTGGTTATGTAGAAGAGACAGAACGTGAAACTTCGTATTTGTATCGTTGTACGCTCTGCACTTGTGCGGGTGGACACATACCATTTACATCTGTCCGAGAGATAACAAGTTGGACAAGTTCAGGCAATAACAGACCCAATGATATGATAAACATTTGAGTGCGCCTCCGATTTGTATGACGACAGTGTCAATTTCATGTCTGTGTTGTCTGTCTACTGTCCATAGGTGCTTCATCAGTTTGCATGGTTTCGTCAACATAACATAGTGAGTACACGCGAAATGCACGTGCCCATGCACTATTTGTGTATTCTACCGGCTTGATTCCATTGACAGGTACACATTTGAAAAACGACGTTTTATAATGCTCTATCAGTTTTTCATTGCTGTCAATATTGATTTCAGTCAAGTAGTGTTGAAAGTCCATAAGAGTAAAACAGTAATGAATTCTTGAAACACGTTATTTCAATTATCTTTAAATGTGTCAAACTTATTTCGTTCATGTTTATAATTTTTCACTTAAAATATTTCAAATAGAAAACGCAATTACACATTGTAGTTAATGTCACGCTGTTGTATTTAACACGACACTGCTTATGAAAGTCGCATTGCTTATAAAAGTCACACCGCGAACAAAGCCACACTGCTTACTGAAATCACGTTGCGTATAAAATAACACTACTTACCGAAGATACATTGCTTAGAAAAGTTACACTGCTTACTAAAGACACACTGCTTATAAATTCACACTTAAATCACATTGTTATAAAAGACACACAGTGTACGAAAGACGCACTGCTCTCTTAAGACACCATGCATACTTAAAATAACACTGCTCGCTAAAGCAACATTGCTTATAAAGACACACTGCATTATTTAACGCAAGACTACTAATTGAAAGCCATAATGCTTATTAAAGCAGCACTGCTGACTAAAGACTTCTTTATTAAAAGTCACACTGCTTACTGAAAAGACACCGATTAAAGAAGACACGCTGCTTATTAATGACACATATATCACTATAACCCACTGCTAACTTAAGACACATGTCTTACTAAAGACCACTGCTTACTAAAACCACATAACTCACTAAAGACACTTCTTACCAAAGCCGCATGACTTAGGTAAGACACACTGCTCACTAAAGACATATAACTCACTAAAGACACACTGCTCACTAAAAATATATAACTCACTAAAGACATATTACTCACTAAAGACACACTGCTTTCGAAAGACATATAACTCATTAAAGACACACTGCTAACTAAAGACATATAACTCACTAAAGACATATAACTCACTAAAGACCCACTGCTCACTATATAATATAACTCACTAAAGACCCACTGCTTACGAAAGACGAACTGCTCACTAAAGACCCACTGCTCACTAAAGACATATTACTCACTAAAGACCCACTGCTCACTAAAGACATATTACTCACTAAAGACCCACTGCTCACTAAAGATATATAAATAACTAAAGACATACTGCTTACTATAGACATATAACTCACTATAGACTCACTGCTCACTAAAGATATATAACTCACTAAGGACCCACTGCTCACTATAGACATATAACTCACTAAAGACTAACTGCTTACAAAAGACTCACTGCTCACTAAAGACCCACTGCTCACTAAAGACATATTACTCACTAAAGACCCACTGCTCACTAAAGACATATTACTCACTAAAGTCCCACTGCTCACTAAAGACATATTACTCACTAAAGACACACTGCTAACTAAAGACATATAACTCACTAAAAACACTGCTTACTAAAGACATATAACTCACTAAAGACCCATTGCTCACTAAAGACATATAACTCACTAAAGACCCACTGCTTACGAAAGACACACTCCTCACTAAAGACACACTGCTCACTAAAAACATATAACTCACTAAAGACACACTGCTTACTATAGACATATAACTCACTAAAGACCCACTGCTTACGAAAGACGCACTGCTCACTAAAGACCCACTGCTCACTTAAGACATATTACTCACTAAAGATCCACTGCTCACTAAAGATATATAACTCAGAAAAGACCCACTGCTCACTAAAGACGCACTGCTCAATAAAGACAGCTTGCTCACTAAAGACATATTACTCAATAAGGCCCCATTGCTAACTAAAGACATATAACTCACTTAAGACCCACTGCTCACTAAAGACATATTACTCACTAAAGACCCACTGCTCACTAAAGACATATAACTCACTAAAGACCCACTGCTCACTAAGACATATTACTCACTAAAGACCCACTGCTCACTTAAGACATATAACTCACTAAAGACCCATTGCTCACCAAAGACATATAACTCACTAAAGACCCACTGATCACTAATGACATATAAATCACTAAAGACCCACTGCACACTAAAGACATACTACTTACTAAAGACCCACTGCTCACTAAAGACATACATCTCACTAAAGACCCAATGCTCACTAAAGACACACTGCTCACTAAAGACACACTGCTCACTAAAGAAATATATCTCACTAAAGACACACTGCTCACTAAAAAACATATAACTCACTAAAAAAATATTACTCAATAAAGACACACTGCTTTCGAAAGACAAATAACTCACTAAAGACACATTGCTAACTAAAGGAATATAGCTCACTAAAGACACACTGCTTTCGAAAGACATATAACTCACTTAAGACCCATTGCTCACCAAAGACATATAACTCACTAAAGACCAACTGCTTACGAAAGACACACTACTCACTAAAGACACACTGCTCACTAAAGACATATAACTCACTAAAGACATATAACTCATTAAGACATATAACTCACTAAAGACACACTGCTCACTAAAGACATATAACTAACTAAAGACCCATTGCTTACGAAAGATGCACTGCTCACTAAAGACACACTGCTCACTAAAGACACACTGCTCACTAAAGACACACTGCTCACTAAAGACATATAACTCACTAAAGACACATCGCTCACTAAAAAAATATAACTCACTAAAAATATATTACTCAATAAAGACACACTGCTTTCGAAAGACATAAAACTCACTAAAGACACACTGCTAACTAAAGGCATATAACTCACTAAAGACCCATTGCTCACTAAAGACATATAACTCACTAAAGACCCACTGCTTACGAAAGACACACTGCTCACTAAAGACACACTGCTCACTAAAGACATGTAACTCACTAAAGACATATAACTCACTAAAGACATATAACTCACTAAAGACACACTGCTCACTAAAGACACACTGCTCACTAAAGACATATAACTCACTAAAGACACGCTGCTTACGAAAGATGCACTGCTCACTAAAGACATATAACTCACTAAAGACACACTGCTCACTAAAAATCATATTACTCACAAAAGACCCACTGCTCACTAAAGACATATAACTCACTAAAGACACACTGCTCACTAAAGACACACTGCTCAATTAAGACATATAACTCACTAAAGACACACTGCTCACCAAAACTCATCTTACTCACTAAAGACCCACTGCTTACTAAAGACATATAACTCACTAAAGACACGCTGCTAACTAAAGACATATTACTCACTAAAGACACACTGCTAACTAAAGACATATAACCCACTAAAGACACACTGCTTACTAAAGACATATAACTCACTTAAGACCCATTGCTCACTAAAGACATATAACTGACTAAAGACCCACTGCTTACGAAAGACACACTGCTAACTAAATACACACTGCTCACTTAAGACATATAACTCATTAAAGACATATTACTCACTTAAGACACACTGCTAACTAAAGACATGTAAATCCCAAAAGACCAACTGCTTACTAAAGTTGCATAACTTACTAAAGGCCCACTGCTTACTAGAGATACACTGCTTATTAAAGCCACATCGTTTACTTATGACACAGAGCTTACTCAAGAAATACCGCTAACTAAATACACACGACTCTGTATTTAGCCTCACACTACTGGTTTTATCGCCACACTGGTGCTTATTAAAGACACACTGCTTCAAGAAACACCATACAGCTTATTGAAGACACACTGCTTCAAGAAACACCATACAGCTTATTAAAGACACCCTGCTTCAAGAAGCACCATACTGCTTATTAAAGACATCCATCTTCAAGAAACACCATACTGACTATTAAAGACACACTGCTTCAAGAAACTGCATACTGCTTGTTAGAACCACACCTTTTACTAAAGACACATTGCTGTTTGCATTTTTCGTTAATTCAATCAATTAATAAATATATAATAGATTACTATGTTCTCGATGTTTATTTCAGATATCAGCTTTTACGCGTGTTGGGTGACGTCATTGAGATTTTGATCATGCGTCATTGCATCAGAACGAGTCACGGTCAGAGACGTCGGAATAGCGCCACGCACTCTGAGGAGGAGAACGCTGTACTTTACAACTGCAGTGATCCTAAACGAAAGTCAACAGATGAATTTCTGCGCATGACAACCGGAAGTAACCAGAGAAGAGTGTCACTTCCGGCAAATACTACATTCCATTCACCAGGGTCAGGTTTTAAAACTGCTCTAAGAAAGGAGAGAAAGTTAAGAAGGATAAAAACAATAACAGATGAAATAAATTCTAACAAGGTGCTAGTTTCCATATCGTGTGTGGTGATCCTTGTTATATTAGCTGTGACGTTTTCTATGTATAGAATGTTCACCACGTGACCCTGAGCATGTCAAGCTCATTTCTGCGTATCGATATCGTGGATATTTACAAACCTATGCTTTGCTGCATTACATGTACATGCGCTATTGAATGTCTATACAAACGTGATAAGTGCTACATTGGTGATATCATGACGCAAATAACCCTAGTCATTGGAGCTATTCTGTAACATGAAATGTGAATGAAAAAATCATTGAATATCGTGACATCCGCAGGGACCTGAGAATAAATTAAACAACCTACACATCAGGATAGGTCTAAACATAAAACTGGACATTATTATGGGGTCCCTTTGGTGACATCGACTTTAGTAGTACATGTAACAGCTCACTGTACTTGGTGACACCAGTGAAATTGGTGAACATGAATGCCTTTATATTGGGGTGAACAGCTACCTTGGCGACATCTAATGTCATGGAGACATCAATGACCTTGGCGACATCTAATGTCATGGAGACATCGATGAACTTGGCGACATCAACATTTGTCGGAATGATATTTGCATTGATGGAATCATTTACCTTGGTGATATCAGTTACAGTTTCCTTGGATGATATCATTTATATTGGTGATATCAGTTACCTTTTAGGATAGCAGTTACCTTGGTGATATTAATTACCTAATCAGTTACCTTGGTGATATCAATTACCAAATCAGTTACCCTGGTGATATCAGTTACAGTTTACTTGGATGATATCATTTATATTGGTGATATCAGTAGCCTTGGGTGATATCAGTTACCTTTTAGGATAGCAGTTACCTTGGTGATATTAATTACCTAATCAGTTACCTTGGTGATATCAATTACCTAATCAGTTACCTTGATAATACAAGTTGGTAATGTTATATCAGTTACTTTGGTGTTAGAAGTTACCATGGTGTGCTGAGTTTCCATGGTGTACCTTGGTGATATCAGTTTCCGTGGTGATACAAGTTACCTTGGTGATTTAAGTTACCTTGGTGATACGTATCAGATTCCGTGGTGATACAAGTTACCTTGGTGATAAAAGTTACCTTGGTGATATAAATTACCTTGGTTATATCAATTACCTTGGTGATGCAAGTTACCTGGTTATATGAGTTACCTTGGTTATATGAGTTACCTTGGCGATATCAAATGCCTTGATGATGTCATTTACCTTGATGAAACAGGTTGCAGTGGTTATAACAGTTACCTTGGTGATATAGGTTACAGTGGTTATATCAGTTACATTGATGCTATAGGTTACAGTGGCTATATCAGTTACCTTGGCGATATAGGTAACAGTGGTTATATGTACCTTGGTGATACAGGTTTCAGTGGTTATATCAGTTACCTTGGTGATATAGGTAACAGTGGTTATATCAGTTACCTTGGCAATATAGGTAACAGTGGTTATATGTACCTTGGTGATACAGGTTTCATTGGTTATATCAGTTACCTTGGTGATATAGGTTACAGTGGTTATATCAGTTACCTTGGTGATATAGATTACAGTGGTTATATCAGTTACTTTGATGATATAGGTAACAGTGGTTGTAACAGTTACCTTGGTGATATAGGTTACAGTGGTTATATCAGTTACATTGATGCTATAGGTTACAGTGGCTATATCAGTTACCTTGGCGATATAGGTAACAGTGGGTATATGTACCTTGGTGATACAGGTTTCAGTGGTTATATCAGGTACCTTGGTGATATAGGTTACAGTGGTTATATCAGTTACATTGATGCTATAGGTTACAGTGGCTATATCAGTTACCTTGGCGATATAGGTAACAGTGGTTATATTTACCTTGGTGATACAGGTTTCAGTGGTTATATCAGTTACCTTGGTGATATAGGTAAAAGTGGTTATATCAGTTACCTTGGTGATATAGGTAACACTGGTTATATCAGTTACCTTGGTGATATAGGTTACAGTGGTTATATCAGTTACCTTGGCGATATAGGTAACAGTGGTTATATGTACCTTGGTGATACAGGTTTCAGTGGTTATATCAGTTACCTTGGTGATATATGTTATAGTGGTTATATCAGTTACTTTGATGATATAGGTAACAGTGGTTGTAACAGTTACCTTGGTGATATAGGTTACAGTGGTTGTATCAGTTACCTTGGTGATATAGGTAACAGTGGTTGTATCAGTTACCTTTGTGATACAGGTTTCAGTGGTTGTATCAGTTACCTTGGTGATATAGGGTACAGTGGTTATATCAGATACCTTGATGATATATGTTATAGTGGTTTATCAGTTACTTTGGTTATACAGATTTCGGTGGTTATATCAGTTACCTTGTTGAAACAGGTTTCAGTGGTTATATCAGTTACCTTGGTGATATAGGTAACAGTGGTTGTATCAGTTACCTTGGGGATATAGGTAACAGTGGTTATATCAGTTACCTTGGTGATATAGGTAACAGTGGTTGTATCAGTTACCTTGGTGATATAGGTAACCGTGGTTGTATCAGTTACCTTTGTGATACAGGTTTCAGTGGTTGTATCAGTTAACTTGGTGATATAGGGTACAGTGGTTATATCAGATACCTTGATGATATATGTTATAGTGGTTTATCAGTTACTTTGGTTACACAGATTTCGGTGGTTATATCAGTTACCTTGTTGAAACAGGTTACAGTGGTTATATCAGGTACCTTGGTTATACAGGTTACAGTGGTTATATCAGTTACCTTGGTTATACAGGTTTCGGTGGTTATATCAGTTACCTTGGTTATACAGGTTTCAGTGGTTATATCAGTTACCTTGGTGATATCAACAGTGATGACATTCGCCATGGGTCCACATCTACACCGTTGCTATGCTTGCTGAAGTTGATTTTGTAAAGTGAATACGTGATTTATCTGGAGTCGTTACTCGATACACTGATTCAACTAATAATATTTAATATTTACTGTATTGGATGAAGGTTCCAGTTTTTGATATTAATATATGTTGTATAATTTATAAAATTTGATTATTTACTTATGCAGTTTACACACATGGCTTTCCATTTTGAAATATATTTTATATATACTGGCTACCATGTAAAGAAAAAATAACAAAAAAAAACAACTGTATTTGTTTTACCTCAGTAATTCTTTTTTTTTGATTTTTGATTTTGCTTAGTTCAGAGATAGATAGAGACTTTTAAGTATTAAGTATTAAGTACTATTTAATGTTCCAAGCCAGTGCTAATATTTTAATGTCTAAATTATAATTATGTTATTGTTTGAAATGTTTGTATCCCAAGGGAGAGGGCTTGTATTCCGCCTTTGCGTATTGCAGAGTTATCTTCTCTTGAGAGCAGGTATTGATTGTTACATCATTGGTTCGTGTGAGAAAATTACGTCGTTTTCTCAAAAATTGATGACGTTACTCTCACAAACAAATGACGTAACAATCAATACCTGCTCTCAAGAGAAGATAACTCTGCAATACGCAAAGACGGAATAGGCATATAGCCTGTTGCCCAATTCCTATTGAATCATTTGATTTAATAAAATATTTTGAAATGAAAAAATAAATAAAACTAGACCTGTTACAGCATAACCAGTACCAAAGTGATGGGTTGTGATGGGTTGTGATGGGGAGGATGGAAGGAGGAGGCCACTGATCGTGGTGGTGGCGTGGCCTTTGAATAAGGAACGTTTGGTAGATTGTGCGAAGCGTCTTGTAAACCAGTTTTCACGACAGTGTTACACACTGGGTCGTTATATACTGGCGATAATGGAGTTGAAAAGAACATTAATTTGCTTATTTCAAAATCATATATATTCTTTATCGTGGTTTTTTTAATCAATTCTCTTTCGATTTCTGAGAAAGGTTAATTTTATAAATCACGGGCGTACAAACAAGTGTTATATTGTTTACATTGATTTTTTCTTGACTATCCACATAAAAGAGAATTCATCGAACAGTACTATTGTGCCTGTTCATATTGATGGGTTTTTGAACCATGACCGGAAACGTAGCGTTCCACCTTTATAGATTGTACAGAACCCGGCGTACCTACATTTTAGAAGTCACCATCGTGGGCTTTATGTCAAGGCCAATATCCGATTAACTTCATGTTGCGAGAAATCTCGTCTTCATACATAGAGAAAATTGATCTGTATAAAATCCTATTGATTTCCTAGTTTTGTCTGCATGTCGATATTTCTGACGTCATACATGTACTGATACAATTCTTACCTTGAAGGTATTAAGTGGAATTATTTTCGGTGAATATATTATCAGTTCTTTGCATCTGAATAAGACGAATTTTGAATTGCACATCCCTAAGAATGTATCGTTATCAGGAAAGTGATTGAAAGAATTTGATCTTCAGAGGAAACCTCTTACATTTGTAACTGAAGCAAGGAAGTTAATTACGAACAATAGACGACGGGACATGATTTCTGACGCGTATGACAAGCCTTCATATCAGTGAGATGTTGACAAGGAATCGATACGGATCTGGACAATGGAGGATATACAATGCCACACGTTAAGGCAGTCATTTTTAGGTCGTAGATCTACAAACACCAATCATTGGTGAATGTTAATACAATACATACGCGTTCGGTCACATATTAGATGTAAAAACGCAAAGACAAAAAACACAACATACTGCTATCTATACTCTATCCATCTCTATGTTCCTTTTATATGATAATGAATATGTACAACCTTATTTTTAACAATAATGTATTTATATATTTGCATCCAATTAATATATTGTATGAGCTATGTTCCGAACAGCGTGTGGGACACAAAAGAAGTTCCGAAAGACCAAAAAGAGGCCGTTTGTTTTTGCAGAATGCGTTGTACGATTCCCAGACTGTTTATGTCAGGATGTACGTACATTAATGCGTGACCGATTTTATCTTTTCCGTTTGTTTTCCTAAGCACGGTGTGTGACTACATGCGATGGTAAATACTGTTCTGAGGCAGGAGCTGCTGACGGTATATTGTAGTATGTGCAGTGTGCGTGTTCAATACGATCTACGTTATCAGAACATCCTTTGTGTAAATAATCCTATCCATATGCTGCTTATGGTCAGTACCTATATATCTAGAATGGTGTCCTAAAGGTCAGGATATTTCACATCGTCATTTTCAATAACTCGTGAAGCGATAACCCGTTTGGGGTACATTCCTTTTTTGCTGACGCCTTCCGTGGATGCTTTGGATACTCTCACGCGGTTTTCTATGCTGTAATCGT